AAGTAACTTTCCTTGTAACAAGTAACAAGTATCCTTTCCTACCTTGCCTAATACTGGTCCCAGCTGCAGTAAGTTCTGAGTCTTAAAGCAGGTCTGTAAAATAACTAATTTGTTACCAAAATTATTTGCCTTGTGCTGAAAGCCAAATTATTCTGCCAACCCTTGCATGTAATGCACACAAAAATTAAAGGCATTAAAGGCATAGCCCATGAAGTGTGTAGGCACCGGCCACCTTCTTGGAGGTCAAAATATCATTTTGCGGTATATAAAGGTAACCACAGGAGCTAAATTAAGCTTTCGAATGGGGCATGCAAGTTATTAGGAGCTACTCTTTCCATCCCCTCTCCACTTCCCTCCTTTCTCAGACTCCAGGGAGCCTGCGTCTTGTTTCTTCAGACAAGCCACCCACTCACAGGATACTCAACCAGAGAATTTCCATTGCGCACTCTTGGCAGCCTGGTGTTTGCCGCAGCGGCTGACCTGACCCACCAGCTTGCCTCGTCACGACACCCACAGAGCACAAGCCAGGCTCCCGTTGCTGGGTTATTGCTGCAATAGCAGAGAGGTGAGCTGAGTCCTGCCTTTCTGGGGCTGCTTCGTCCAAACTTCACACCGTGTGAGCTGATCAAATGCTTCCAGTCACTCAGGGTGTGCAGGCAGAGCATTTGCCTGGCAGTGCGCGTTGTGTGCTGTCTGCTGTGGATAGGATGCTTATGTAAAGGGTTGGTATTTTAAACAACGAATCTTTTGGACTGAAGGCAGCATCTTTTTATCCTGAGGCAGACACCACATGACCTTCTGAAAAGACCACAGAGCCCTGCTGACAGGTTTGATGGAGAAATGGAAGCACGCATGACCAGAAACTCTGCGTTATCATCCAGCCAGGTCTGAAGCAGAACCATGAGCACTGGATAGTGGGACATGTATTTAAGTGCACAGCTCAGATGATAGAGAATGAAGTCTATTAATACCCACACGAGGAAGGGCAAACTTCACTAAAACTCTCAGCTACCCAGGAGTTCTCCTGCCCCCTACGCAAGATGTGCTCCAGGACTCAAGAATAAAATAGCCACAATCCTCTCTCTGGAAGCAATTCCACACATACTGCTGCAGATGTGTGGTTTATCAGCATCAATCATAATGGCAACAAGCATGCAACACCCCCCTCCTCCCCAGACACAGTGTAAAATGCATGTGTTGATGTAAAGACTCATGAAGAAAAATCAAGGAGTGAGCTAAAACCTTCCTTGTGGCACTAATGGCATGGTGGTGGTAAGAGCTCCCAGAGCAATTGCTTCCAACATCAAGAAGAAAGCCAGAGGATGGATGAAGTTAAGAGGAAACTGTCAAGATGGGAATAGATTAAGGTGAAAGAGTGCACTCTGTAATATGTAACTGTGCTGTTCAGGTTCACATTCAAACTTATAGTATGGTGAACAGTCATCTTCATGTTTGTTTTCAGATCAGACCATAATTTATCCCCTTTTCCTCCTATTTTTGGTTATTCACCTCATCTTGTTTATGTAAAAAGACTTTCTGATTTATTAAAGTTATTACTTCCAAGCAAGTCCCTGAACTATCCAGTGCCTCAGAAATGCATTACAATTTTGAAAGGTTCTACCTCTAAATTTCACGATCTTACATTTATTTGAGCTTTCTAAAACCATACAGTCTTTTTTGATCTGCACAGCTTAAAAATCACAGAATCAATCGCTCCTGCAGACACTGGAGATCCCAGAACTGGCTGCAAGCTCTCATTCTGGTGACTCCAGTCTGCAGACGAGATACTCTGAGAAAGGAATCGTGCTCATATGGGATCAGCAAATCTGGGCCATATACCTAAGAAAATCTTAACTCCTTCGATACTGCTTCTCGCTGCCATAGTAACAAGGAGATCAGATAAAGTTAAAAACAAATGAAAAAGCAGGACTGGCCTTTAGCTGTGCCACTGCTCCACCTGCTTAGAGACCAGCCAAGCTGTTGGTGCTCCAGATGTACCGCATAGCTGGATATTAAAACCTAGCATCACTTCATTTTTATTTCACTAAGCAGGAGACAGGTTATTGCCTGATCTTGCTTATAATGAAACAACAGAAATGTCAGTGGAGGAGGACCGGGTTACCAGAATTTAATTTCACTGGAATGGCTTCAGTTAACCAGCACTCAAGTAGGATTCAAATATTGTGGTGGGTAGGGAGAAATAAGATCTTTCTTCCCTGTTATGAAGCAAGTATTGATGAGGTGCGTACTGCACAGCAGAAACACTTGTGGATCAGGGCATTTTAGTTCAGAAAAAAAATTTAAATTGAAGCCATGGCTTCCCTTGTAACTGGATTTTTGACCCATTTAACGGAGGTCTTGGGCATTCCTCAGCTCAGAAATGCACTGTACTGGCAGAAGCACGAGTCTAAGCCCAAAGTTGCGCTGACTAATGATCCTCATCACCCCAGCTTTAAAAATGGATCACATCATTCAGGCTGGTTACCAACAACAGCCAAATGTAGTAGTACCTATCATAGTAACTTAGAATGGTTTGGGTTGGATGGGACCTTGAAGACCATCTAGTTCCAACCCCTCTGCCATGGGCAGGGACACCTTCCACTAGACCAGGTTGCTCCAAGCCTCATCCAGCCTGGCCTTGAACACTTCCAGGGATGGGGCATCCCCAGCTTCTCCGGGCAAAGTGTTCCAGTACCTCACCACTCTCATCATAAAAAAATGTCTTCTTTCTATCCATTTTACTTTTTTATGTGCTTTTGGTTGTAGACAGCAGTCACATGTACGAGGCTGAAACTGTGGTAGTATGGATGCAACTCCAGTGTACACATCAGACTGAGCAGCTGCATTGTCTCCTTGTGCACCGCTTGTGCACTTCTGCCTTGCACCACCATACGCTGTATTTAGTGTGGCCACTGCTAAAGCTGAAGCTACTGTGCTTCGGGTGATGAGAGTGCGCAGTAAAACCAATGCTAATTACCAGGGGGAGGGTAGCCAGACAATGTGCCAAAGAAAGGGGAAAATACATAACAGAAAATTTATTTTAAGAAGGCTCTTGGAAAGAAGAGTATTTTCTTTCCTTTGTATATATTGAATAGAAGAGGTTTTAAACAAAGCACAGATTTCACGTCTGCTGAGAGAAGTCACCAAAGAACTGCCTGAAAACAGCAGTGAAACAAGATTGTAGCTTTTAAGACAACATCAACCGACAAGACTGTCTCTTCTGATCGCGTGTTCTCATGCCAGAAGTGCTCATGTCACACTTGTAGGGGTGCACGTGAATGCAACGGCCCTATACCAACTTTAATCCTACTGCAGCCCACAGCTGGCTTCATTTTCTCACGGAACAAAGAGAAATAAACCTAGAAACCATTTTCACCAGCTTCAAGGCATGAACTGTGTTACTAGCCATTGCTTACTGTTACTAGCCAGGCAGTTAGCTTAGGTATCTGATCTCTCAGTAACCTCAAAGCAGGCAGATATTGGCACAGCATAATTCCTAGACTTGCAGGAAAACCTCCACCTGGATGATGCCTGTGCACAGCAGCTTCTCCTAATGCCTCACTGATGGACGATGAAGGATCTTTCCCTTAGGTGGCCAAAAGCAGTGGTTGCTTATCTCGCCTCCCAGACACGCTGAGCAGGGAATCACACCCACACACGTTCACATACAGGCTTTGAGCCTACATGGGGGTTTCGGTTTGCATTTCAACACCCTCCATAACATCTTCATGTGGTTTTCACGCAAACCGCGTGGGAATCTTTACACACAGGAGAAGCATAGGAGAACTCGTGTAAAATGCACCCAAAACGACTGATTTACATCAAATATTGCATGCAGAGTTTACTGTTACAGCTTCTATCCTAGAGACACACAAACATGGGAGATGATTGTATTCTCTGGTTAAAATGAATGAAATCGATGAAGAAAGACTTAACTATAACCTACACTTCCACAAAGGAACAGAGGACATTTTCAAGCAAAAAGGGTGTGTTTGCAGAGATATCACCAAGGAGAGGAGGTATTTGCTTGGAAATTATTGAAAAAATACTTCTAGCCTGTTTTGTGGAAACAAGACTATCCTCTTCTGAGTTGAATGCCATTCTTGACTTACTCCACTTCCTACTGCCGAGTCCCTTCCTTTCCTTCTCACAAGACAACAAAAATTAATGAGACAGAAGTTTAAATAAGGGAGAAGATAAAAGCCTAACCCACCCTTTATGTCTTATAGATTTACAGTTTATAGGTGTAATTTAAAGTATCAATATGAGGACAGAAATTATTTAACCTATCAGCTATCACAGGTTCTATTAAATTTTGAAGACCTCATAGACACAGATAAAGCTACTTGCTGCTAAAACCACAGGGTAAAGCAGCTATAACCCAGGGCCATGTTTAGGCTAAAGCAATTAAGACACAAACGGAATTCTCCTTCGTAGTGACACTGAAAACAAAGCACATGGGTAAAACAAACACACATCACACCGTCTGTGGCTCCGCATGCCGTATTTCTGAATGAAATAAATTATTCAAACATTAATGTACCTTCATTACTTATTCTTCAGCTGCCTTGCATCCATTCCCATAATTAAGAACATCGGCTAGACTAAACCTGGTGATTAAAATGGTGCACTAACTGCATGTCTAACGAATACTTAATTTTTGCAGTGCACTTTTTTTTACTATTCAACAGTAACACTTAAGAGATATTGTGTCACTACTGAGTAAGTTTATTACAGTTTCTTTACTACCATGGTTTTTTAACTTGAATTACAAACAACATCATCCTGTTTTGAGACTCTGGATCTATTGATGAAAATAGGCTTTTGGTACAGTTTTTGTATGCTCAAGTTAAGTGTTTTACAAGATACCTGAATGATAGTGCTATTGATGAAACAAAGTTTGTAAGACAAGCACAAGTGGCTCTGTGCTCAACAGATGAAGGTCAAACTTCATCATGCACAAGGTATAAAACAGGTCACTGAAAAAAACGTGCACTTACCTGGTATGTAAACTGCACTTCACTTGATGAGTTACCTAATTTTCCATTGATGTTAACTTCAATTTCACCTTGTTTTGCTTCATTCATTGGTCCAACTTCACATACAATCCTAGCAAGAAAAAAATATAAGTTTATCTGTTACTTCTAACAGCTGCAATACCAATGCAATACATGGGAGCTACCACACACACCGCCAGGAAAAGCACTAACTTTGCTTCCTCCTGCACAAAGTACTTGAGTTCTACCGCAGATTCCCAACAAAAACACCCAAGAATATTTTATTCTTGTATCTAAAGGAAGATGAAACTGAAACTTAAGCACTATACACATAGCTGCTTTAGCAGTTCATTAGTAGAAGTGCCTTTTATAGGAGGCTCAAATTCAGCCCAGAAGTTAGAGATGACCCTCTGCAACCCTACACAAGGTTTTCATTGGACCTGGTGATGTTAAAAAAAAACAAAGGACACCCCCCACACCTTGATGTAAGAATCAGACCATCAGCTATCTTATATCATTGTGTGTTTTAGCTCTAATGCTTTTGTTGTGCATCCTGCTATTTTTCAGCTTTAAAATACTGTATTTTCATAACTACAGTCAAAATCTCCTTAGAATTATTGGTCTCTGAAAAGAAATCCTCAGACACCTCACACAAAATCAGAGGTCAAAGGAACACTGGCTGAGAAAACACTGTCGTAACTAACACTGCTGCTGCCTGATAGCTTGGATGTTTAAATTTTTATTTCAAACAGGTGATCTGCAGAACACAAGCATGAAAATGCAATAAGGATTCGACACACTTGAAGACTGGGACAAATGCTTAATGGAGAGCTGATAATACAGTTAGATAAGGAAGTATATAATGTTTGCAACTTGTGCAGGCGGGGTTGCAGATAGGACACACCCTATGAGGATCACTGCTCATTTCCTTCACTCTTCCCCCTCCAGGATTATGGTTCCTCCAGGATTATGCTTCCTTAAGCAGCGCACGAGTGCTTAAAAAAAGGACTCAAATAGAAAAAAAACCCACCACCCAACAACCAACCAAACCAACAACCCCAAATTACTGGGTATAATGTACTTAAATCGGGACTTATAATAAAAGGATTGTTGAGTCCCTCTGCAGATCACTCCAGACTTTTCTGCCTGGGTACTGGCAAATGCACCAAATTCTCTAAATTCTTGCATGTCCTGGCATGTGTATGGCTGCCTGAGTCTGTTCCTCATCATCTCTCTACTGTATTCTTGGAAGTTGTATCTTCTTGTCAGGCAGAAACAGGAAACGGTGCCTTCGTTGGAATTTCTACCATATGTCAAGCTAGGGAAAGCAGTCGGGGGCCAGGGCTGGGGGGGGTGTGTGTGTGGGAAACGCCGTAGCACGGTTAACAGGGATTTTAAGGGAGAAAAGTTCCCTCCCCAGCACTGGCATAGCCTCCCTTCTCCCACGTTACAAATGGAAAACTACAAAGAATGAGAACACCACTTCTCGAAGGCCAACAATTAAATCACCACAGAGCCAGAAAGGAGCCTTAAGTGCCTTAAATCTTGCTGCTCTCCTGCCCATGGGAGCAACTGTCTCCTAAAAATGACTAGCTTTTTACTGCAGAAGGATAGGGGAGCAAGACTAGGCACTTTTTTTTTTTAATTGAAGAAGATAATAATAAAACAAAAGAATGAAGATCAAGACAGCAAATTAGATACCTATTTGGAGATTTTGAATAACTTCTTTTTCAAGGCTTCCCTAATGGAGAACATCCTTCAAAACCCCCTAATTTGTTGATAAATGACATTATGCAAGTTGCATTTGTTCTCACCCATTACCACACTGGCAGAGCTTAGGAAACCAGTAATGTTGCTATGATACAAGGAACTAGTCATCTGAGTTCTGGCTCCTTTCCATGTATTTAAAAATATCAAAAAGCTTTAGAAAAAGCCAAGAGGCTGGGGAAATTCTTGTAAGGCTACGCTGCAATTCAGTGCAGCTTTCGCAAAGACCAAAACCAGGGAATGGGAAATGATGACTGTAAAAGAGTTGGGAATTTTGTGCATGGTGGTGGATATGAAATGCTCGAATGATGGCAGTGAATTCGGGAAGCAGTAAGAGGTATACAGATATAGATACAGTCCTAAGTCCTAGGGGCCTGGGAAGCTTCTACATGCCTGATCCACAAACTGACTGAAGCTAAACATTTTTCAAAATCTAAAATAATCACTTAGGTATCCTCAAAGTCCCTTCAAAACATGACACAGAAATAGCAAAAAGTTACTCTCTTACACTTTAAATTAAGGGAAAAAACACCAAGGTTTTGAATTGCAGCTTTAAACACCAAAAGGGAATAAAGAAAAATCACACTGCTTAAAATGTCATTACTCTTAATATTACTACTGAACCTTCCTGCTATGCTTTTTATCAGCTAATATCAAAAGGGAGTTTCCCTCTTGAACTTAGATGCTTGATATAAACTGTAGTAAACACCTAGATACCTACAAGAATTTAGGCATCTTTTCATTTTTGGCACTGCTTAAGAGTGTGACATGTAATCCACAAAACATCTGCCAACCTGCTTAGGCAATTCAACATCCATGGACTTGTTGGCTCTGCAGCAAAACTGAAGTCATCTAAAGCTAAACCAAAACTCCAGGCTCCCTCCTTGCCCCCAGGAAAGAAACTTTGTGGCTGGACTAAACCAAAAAGATCTAAGCTTCCTCTTGCTTTGCCGACTTTCCCATAAATCTCATATGCTTGGCTGCACTGTGGTTTAGATTTAGCAAAGATTTTAATGACTAGATGCACACCTATGATCCCTTTAAAGACAAATAAATAATTTTGAGACATCTGCAGCGATAGTTTATGAAAGCTTTTCAAACAAATAAGGGAAAAAATCCATCAGAAGCAGGAGGGTAGTATGCTATCATAAATTTGTTGCTGTATTAGAATCTGTAACAATTATAAAGACTCAGACACGTTACTATGAAATATTGCAGGTATATAGCGCTAGTACTTTCTTCTATTGGTAACATTTTAGTGAAGATCACCTTCTCCCAAAAATGCACAGAATTTCCTTTTATCTTCTAAAATCTTGTGAAAAATATCCAGCAATTACCTTGTGGAAACAGAGTAGAATTCCTCTTTGAAAAGACATTCCTTGTCTGCCACCATTATATTTTTTACATCTTCTGCTTTTATTCCCAAATTAGATCCTATTATGGTCAAAAGAATTCCACCATTTAGTGGTCCAGTTTTTGGCTCAATCTGTGTTTGCATGAGGGAAAGTAAAAAAAAAAGTAAAATTAAATATTGCAGTGACCATGTTATTCTTTCATGTTATTTAAAGCTACTTTGACTCACCCGTACTTGAAATGAAAAAGATATTTCTTGTAGGACAAAAACATGCTATTCAACTTTTTCATGTTAATTAATTACTTGCTAGCTCAGAACCAGCATTCATCAGCTTTTGTCTCTCCTGTGGCAGACTGTTATGTACAAAACCCTTGCCTGGTGTTTATTCTCAACCCTTGCCTGGTGTTTATTCTCTTTTAAGTTTGCTTCCTCCAATCAAGCACTATGATTTTGAAAAGCAAATGGATCAGGATCCTCCCACAATCATTCCACAGGCTTTTCCAGCCTTTTTTTTGCCATGATTTTCTCCACTTAGGTTCATGTCAGAAGACTGCACCGTCCTACCACACACTGCTGCCCCACATAATGTCCTCTAGCCCCTTGGACTTCCCTACCACATCAAACAGTAGGATGCTACAGCACATGGGCTGATGCCAATTACATAATTCACAATTAAAATGATGACTGAGAAAATCCTGCAGTCGCAGTGGCCTTCTCAGATTGAAATATGGCCTGAGCAGGCACTTGGACTCTGAATATTTGTTGGGAGACTAACTAGTTTTGCTATGTAATACATGGAGCACCTCCAGCAAGACCTTTTCAGGCGTTCCGCTGCAGAGGGCTGCAAGTTCATCATCAAGCAGCGGGAGACTGCACAGTCCCAAAAGCAGTAATTGGAAGACAAACAAATAGAGCTTCTGAAAGCCTGGGCACTAGTATCTGATGAGTTTCTTAGAGCTAAGCAAGTCTGAGCACAGATACAAGGCCGCTGCTGCCCAGAATCACTTGCTCTGTTTTCCCACTGGTTCAACTTCCTAAAACTTTTGCCCGCTGGCCATCCCTCTGCACTCAACCCATAAATAAACTAGCTGAAAAATGACTCAATGGGTTGTGTAGACATTTCCAAGCTTTTTGTTCAAATCTGAAACCAACAAAAGCATTGACAAATCTAATATTTTAGGATTTAGTATTTAACCCACAATGATGTGCAAACAGTATCCCAGGTGAAAACATTTTTCTCAATTTCCCTTTTCCCTGCCACCCAAATCACCTTCATCTGGGCACAGCTATCACACAAGTATCCTTCTCCACACTTTCTGTTGAGATTTCAGGCTATTTGATTTCCTTGGCAAACTTTGAACTGTTTACCTGTTATTTCTTCTCAGACACACCATCACAGCCAACCTCATCCAGTGTGCTGCTGGTCTGCCTGTACCCAGCCTGCACCTCCAACTGTGCAGCCTCGGGAGATTCAGCTTGAGCCACAGGTTTCAGAATTCAGCAGTTCCTGTCTTATTTGAGTGAAACCTCCCTGTTAGGACTCCCAGCCTCTGTCATACTGTTACTGCATTTTGTGATGGACTGGGATATGTTCGCATCAAACAGTGTGTCTGAGTTTCAAAGAACAGGTACCAGTGTGGCAGCAATTTAGATTTGCTGGTGTGGGCTGGAAAATACCAGCGACACCCGGAAAACAAACTGTGATGCAGAAACAACCTGCTCCCTTATTAAATACTATTTAAAAGTCTAGTTTGAAGTCTGTTAATGAGCCTGCTAAGTGCTTGCAGTTCCGGGAGCAGTGAACCTCTCTTACAGACTTATTTCAGGTAGAAAAGACTTCAGGAGAGCAAAAACCCCCATCCATGCTAATTCTCAAGAATCAAGTACCACGTTTAAGCATACACTGCTAGCCTGGCTTCTAGCACAGTGAGGACAAAGCTTGAAAAACAAGAAGTCTCAAAGACTCCATTCAGCCTCTTATTTTGAGTCTTTAGAAATCTCTCACACAGATCACTACTGGCATTATTTCCTTGCAGCTATTTCAGAGGCTTACTTAACACCCTAGGAAAAAAAAGTGCCTTTCATTATGAGCTTGCTTGGATGCTTTCTCCTGAAAAATAATACACTGGTAGAGAAAGAAAAAAAAGCAGTCTTACGCGAGTGATTTTTGGATGAGGACACGTGTCAGTGGGAGGAGCGTGACAGAGTTTTTCATAAAGGCACTTGCTAGGCTTGCCCACTTCTTCACACCAGACGCACTTATAGTCATGATGGGCTGCGAGGCATAAGCTGCAGTCGCTTCGTCCATAGGAGCAGTTGTACAGAGTCACTGAAATACGAACGGTAAATGCACTTAGACATTTCCTTCTGTTTCACAGAATCACAGAACGGTTTAGGTTGGGAGGGACCTTAAAGATCATCTAGTTCCAACCCCCCGCCCATGGGCAGGGACACCTTCCACTAGACCAGGTTGCTCAAAGCCTCATCCAGCCTGGCCTTGAACACTTCCAGGGATGGGGCATCCACAGCTTCTCTGGGCAACCTGTTCCCGTGCCTCACCACCCTCTCCGTGAAGAACTTCTTCCTGATATCTAATCTAAACCTCCCTGCTTTCAATTTAAACCTATTCCCCCTTGTCCTGTCACTAGAGGCCCTTGTAAAAAGTCCCCCCCCAGCTTCCTTGTAGCCCCTTCAGGTACTGGAAGGCTGCTGTAAGGTCTCCCGGAAGCCTTTCCTTCTCCAGGCTGAACAAGCCCAACTCTCTCAGCCTGTCCCCATAGCAGAGGTGCTCCAGCCCTCTGATCAACTTCAGGGCCTCCTCTGGACTCGGTTTCAATGATATTCAGTGTGTTATGGGAAGGAAAGATAATGTCATGTACAAAGTCTGCCTGTTGCTCAGTTGAGTTGTTTGAAGAACATACACACTCTGTACTGAAACCCTGAACGATGCCAAAATCCCCTCATATTTTACCCTGTGTAGAAAAACCTCAAATCTATCCATGTGCAGACTATGAATTAACTACCTAGAACCCAACTGCATTTTTGTCACTCAGGCATTGTCGAAACATATAAGTAGAACGTTCTTTCTTCCACTATCCTCAATTAATCTGCCTATACAGCTCTTCAAAGACTAGTTCAAAGGAACAGACCCTCCTGGCGTACCAGAAGCCAGATGTGGAAGGGTATGAGCTCTGTATGGGTGTTGTGAGGGGCAGACATCAGCCAGCGTGGGACCCTCTGCCAGTCGTGTATTTAAAGGAAGAGGGCTGCCCTTGTTGGTCATTTCCAGGACATTTGGGGCTTTCCAAAGTCATCACTGAAGCCTGAACTGAATAGAAAGTTAACACTTAATGAAGTGTTATCCTTTGTTCAAGTCAATACCTCTTCATTTCTCTATCTTCAATTGTCTTCCTTTTGTTTTCCCTTTTGTCTGGAGCTGCTGTCTTGATGTATGCCTTATTCATTCTGCAGTGGGGTTTAATTCTAGTTTTTCTGAGCAAAGAAATCAGGTCTGACAGTCAAGCCTCTCTTACTCATGAACCACACACCAACTGTCACAGACACTAAAATTGTTTTGGCCCCTATCAATCTCTAGCATGATGCACAGTCACTGAACAAAATTAATCTTCCCAATAATGCAAAGCCTTGAGACATAGCTGAGTGGTTCAGCACCATACGGCAAGCCTGGGCTTGCAAGAAAACATTTGAAGATGCACTTGAGAGCTAGCCCAGAAGAAAAAAGACTGAAAAGATGCCACATGTTTCTCTAAGGGAAGCATGCAAGTTGCACAGATCACGCAGGGTGAGTGCTGTGCTTCCCTGGGAAGGTGAGCTGATCACTGTGAAGAGGGAAACTTCTTGCTCCCTCCTCTTCTGCTCCTTCCCTTCATCCCTGCTTCTCCCTACTCTTTGCTGGTCTTTTTTTTCTGGCCTTGCAGTCTCTCACTCTCTGCTACCAAGGCTCTGCCACTTGTTTGGTCTTCTTGTAAATCACCTCAACTTACCAGAAGAGCACAAAACTATCCAGGTTTCCTCTTGTGCTCTTTCAAGAGTTAAATGTGCTCACAGATGGGAGTGGGGAGTACAAGACACAGACTCAACACCTCCCCTTTCCAGTAGCTATGAGCTCTTTTACGTGCTCACCGAGTCTCAAGAAATGGTACCCTTAGTGACAGTGGGGTTTTTTTGCAAAGGAGGTTCATCCTTAAACATGCAGGAAGCAAAACGAAGTAAACAGAGGTGATCAGATGTGGACAAGAGACTAGGATAAATCCATTTAGGAAGGCATATGGTAAAGACCATCAAAAATGTCTGTTTAAAGAAAGCTTTTATTCTCAGAGGAGCAGGAGCCTAGAAAGGACACCAGTAAAACCACACTCCAGTCACTAACATTTCAATGCACTTGATATCTTCCTAGATAATAGCAGCAGCAGTAGCTTTTACAATCTAATTCCAAGAGGCCACCATGTCAGATTTCTACTGAAATGAAAAAATAAAATGAGAATGCTGGTTTTCCATTATTTTTCAGCAGCGCCCTTATTCCCCTGCTACGCATGAACACTATTACAGAAGCCCAAAACTTGGCAACAGTCTCTCTGCCACTTGCATGAGAGCACACAAGCTCATAAGGGCAGTTTTCTCTAAATGTTGCATATTTAAAACCCTCAGCATTCAGTTTCACCGCTAGTCTTTAACTAAATAACACAGTTGCATTCTTTCCATTACACTGAAGACTTAATGCAAGATGGAGCCTGGTTTTAACCCTTCTTACAAGCATATCCACCTGATTTCTAGCAGCTTTACCAGCCAAAATCAGTAGAGACACCATTGGAGGTTTATGCAAAGCTGAGGGACTTTGGCATTTGTAACAACGAATCAATGAGAAAGAGCATCCATTTGCTTCAACCTCTATCTGGAATTCCCAAGGAACCAATGAGCACAAAGCAGGAGTAGCATCATTTGCTTTATATACTGAGCACATCAATACAGCAGTCATTGAGCAACAAATACAACCCAAACGATATTTTCAATAGTTTGTGTGTTAACTACTCCCTCTGTATGCTGGATGTGAACGCAGTGCTGGGGAAAAGCCGCAGACTGACAGCCCTGGTACGTTGCCGTTTGCTTTTATAAGCAGAAGAGACAGTACGGGCAGCGTCAAGGTAAAGTTTCCTCACATCTACCCTGTGAATTGCTTTTGCAGAAACCAAATTGCTTTCTTAATCCAGCACACTGGAAGGTTGCTATGGCACATGGAGTCGAGCAGGTAATGTTGTTAAACAAATCTTCCCCTTGCCTTCCTAAACCCTGTGTTACCCACCCACACAGCCACTTGGTGTGGCACGGGAATATGCTTACTGAATGACTTTGTTATCCTGCAGCAGCTGGACGGTAATTTTCATCCCATCCCTCAGTAAACAATGTCAGCACTGCAACATCTTGACATCCCTCACATCCAGTTGCATGAATGCAACGGAGAAAGCTAGAGCCTTAAAGCATTAAACGTGTCCCCCGTTCGCTGATCAGCTCATTAAACGTACCAGCAGCACGCCACTCATTAGATTCAGACTCTTATCCATCACCTTGAGATGCCAGCTGTGAAATCATTGATAAAAAGGACAAAGGATAAAAGGGATATACTGGATTTCATACTGTTCAGAAACCCTGATGGCTTGAGATGTAAAAACGTTATCGTAACTTGGTATTCACTAAGTGTTACACAAAGAAAAGGTTCTTTCACTGGCAGGTTCAAAGGTGCTTCTCAGCAGCAACCATATACCCAAAGACAATTCTTTTCAAGATGCATAAAAAACATTAGGCTCTGGATTTCATATGGCAAAGAAAATCAAAAAGCAGGAGAAAATCTGGATTAAAAAATAAATTTTATAATAAAAAGAGACATTTGTTGCTAATTTTTCAATTCCCTTCTTGCAAGGGTTCTACATTTCAATTTGAATGATAATGTTTGTTTAATAATTTAGCTTTTTTTTTCTCCTATGTTTTTCCCACACTGGGAAAAAAGATGTTGGGAATATTGGTCAAAATACTGCAGTTTGAAAAAACACAGCCTTTGGAATGGAAATTAAGACAGTGTGAGATTTTAATATGACCTCCCTGTAACATTCATGCCAGGTCCTCTTTTAAGTGCTTTCAACACTGCACACAGAGCCACAGGGAAAATCTTCTGAAAACACACTTCTGTGCTGCCAATAAGAAAGGGAATAAATTTAAATATCGTACAGATGGAAAAAAATGGTGTGAAGATTTAATCTGCAGGGGAAATTACTTGGGAGCAGTATTAGTTCTCCTGATGTTGACTCATCACACAAGTAACAAGTGTGTTGGTTTGCAGTTTTTGCAAGATTATGCCTCAAAGTTCAGTCCAAAGGAGTGTAAGGTAGTCCCAGCTCCCAGATATTGCTCCGCTGATTTTGATGGAGCTTTCCCACCTGAGCTCAGGACTAGGCTCACAGACATAACTGCTTCATCGTTGTATGTTGAAAGAAATGAAGAAGTTTAGATTTATAGAGGAATTTATAACAGAGACCAAATCTTCGTGCTATAAAACACTTACTATACTTTTTGTTGCCATAGAAATAGATGAATGATCAGCTGAAAGCACCCTGAATGTTTCTGTGTACTCCTGATGGCCAGCAGACATAAAGACTGCAGAACCTGTCTGAGCTGAGACACAGCTGAAAGTTGAGATTTCAGGTGAAGTCCATAAAAGCAGCGATGAGAAGGACCCCCTTTCTGCTACTGGAGGGGAAAAGTGCATTGGGGAAGGGAAGTGGCCATGGAAAACAAAAGAATTCAAACTACTTAAGTACGTTTGAAGTGTGCAGCCCCGCTATTAGGACTGCCCTTCAGAGCAAAAGCAAACGTGAAAATAATGGTAGCATATTCAAAACAGCCTTTAATATATACAACATTGATGTTTAATTCATGAGTCTAGTATTAGTAACTTTTGATCTGTCAGGTTTAATTGTTTCATCCAAACCAGTAAAACCTACAAAGGTAACATTTTTATTCGTGTGACTCCAAACTACAAAGGAATAGATTTCTGTTTACTGTAATTAACCTCCCTTTAATCCCCTGTTTCACACTTACCCATCAGTTTGCTGTCAATCTTGACCTTATCTGCTGTTATGGATAAGTTAAGTCGTAGGGTCTCATCTGCACTATAGGAGAACTGGAAAGACGACACAATAGAGATATTTATACCTTCATTTGGCTAGGTTAATTTCATGTGTTTTCTAGGATTCTCAATAATCAGCGCCATGACTGTTATAGAAACTATCCCAAACCTTATGGTCCTTTTTTCGTCTTGGCCAAATACATTTATAGAAAAATGTTTTAATGAACCTAATCCTTCACAATCAGAATTTCCAAGTACCAAGGGAAAGCAATATCTCAATACCCGCTTTTCATTAATTTAATTTACGTTTGGTTATAAGCATCCAAGTAGCAAAGGTACTGTTCAGATTCAGTAAGTAGAACTGCTGACCCTGCTGAGTTCTCCCTTCCCACACCATCTGGCCCCATTACTTCTGTGGATGCGGCAGACTCGCACCACATGGAGGGGAAATCTCTTGCATCTTTTGCAGTGCAACCCCCTCGTTACAGCCAAAGCGCAGGGTTCACATGCTCCAAGACATGAGCTTCTGCTCACGTTGAAAGACAGCAGCGATAACAACCGGTGGGAAAGAAGAAGAGCAAAGAAAAATACAATAGCTTTATAAAGCAAATGCTTTGTGCTAGGTTCAAATGCTGCATAAATGCTAATTAATTCTCAAAACTACTCTGTTAGTAAGCTTATACGACATAAAGGTTAAAGTCAGCATAACGTTTGTGAGTCCAACTTTGAGCTTGGGAAATAGACTATTTTCTAAAAAATATTATTTCCTTTCCCTGTAAAATAAACCACAGTGAAAGCAGCATAGCTACTAGTAGCCACTCCTATTTTTACAGGTGTAAAATGGAAAAAATAATGAATTGGAGTGTGGAGAGGGAAAGCTCTGAAATTTTCATCTTTTAACCTCAATGATTTCACCAGATTACATAAAAAGTAAAGAATAAAAGAGTAATGGTCCCAAATTCCTCCAGGAACAGTTCAATGAATCCATGGATTGCATAGATAGAGAAATCAAGAAGAAAAATCAAGGGCTTTGAAGGGAGACCCCAGGAGCTCTGAGCCAAAGCTACTGCCTTTGACTGTTACTGCCAAAGGCAGTCACCTCCATCAGAGGTGACTTCCTTCTCTGAGGGAAACCAATATTACATCTGTATTTCTGGAAACATGTGGACACTGGAACAGAACAATAAGAACTGACTAAGTTTGGTAGGTGAATCATATTTTTGCATTTACCTCTTCACTCATGAATGAAAATTTTCCTTCAGATTCATCAACAAGAGCTTTGAATTCAAACTGGCTGTTTCCAACTTCCAATTGTTTTCCCTGTGGAAGAGGAAAGTTCAGCTTAGAATACGTATACCATTGTCAAGCGTAATAAAGTATCACCAGGCAATACCCTGTTCAGCACTGGAAGTAATAACACCAGATGGAGAAGGCTAACCAGTTAAAGTCATCTTCTGAAAACAAAAGCTAGTGAAACACCGAGCCTGCACAATCGGCTGCTTTGCTGTACTCTTAACGTTCATTAAAGGTGGAAGCACCAAGCAGTACGAATAAAGCAAGAACACATCCAGCACTCCGTTTTAGGGAACAAGGAGAGAAAGTCAAGACATTTTTCGAAAGTGTTCAAATGCTGCTGCAGCTGTGTAAGGCTTTCCCACATGCTTAACAGAAGGCAGTGGGAGAGGAGGGGAGCTCCGGCGTGCGTGACAGCTGCTGCCTGGAGCGGTTTGAGATCAGGAGTTGCTCTCGCAGGCTCCCAAGCAGAAGGCCACAGAGCTCACATTCAGCAGTCTGGGTGCAAGAAGACACACGTAGCAAACACTTGGAACTGCGTTACACATCAGACACACATGACAAAGACAAATCCAAATGGGAAAACACTTTTAACAAAAATCTTTGGAGGGCTAAGGAGGTTATCTTGATGCTGGTACATCTGTCTCTTCTATTGTGCCAATCTTTCAAGGACCCAGCTGGAGAATGTGTCTCAGAAGGTGCATGCAATATGACTGATCAGTACTAAATCTTCCTCTCAACCGCTTGTCCTGGATGTGCCTATTCCCAAGAGAACGACAACAGCTTGGATTTACTTCTCCTTCCTACTGAAATTCTTTCAGAGGAAGGAGGGGCAGAAAAACAGACAACAGCTTCTCCCCTTTTAGTTGATGGAGAAGAATGCCTCCAGCAGAAGCCCTCACAAGGAGATTTATTCACTGTACTGTAAATGTTCACAAGTGACGAGGCATGTACAAAAAGCGTGAGCTTATTCTTCAGCTCTCAGGTCTGCAACAGCACATTTAGAACCCATGGACAACTCCTAGTCATTGGGTAAGCCCAAACCTTTACTACTAATCTCCACCTAGAAATAGAGGTCCTTATATGCATGATATTGGCTAGTGTACTTAGTTACCCATGATTAGGTAGGTTGCACATCACCCTTTAAAGCAAAGCACATAATAAACCAAGATAATAGAGTATTTTAAAGCAACAAGAGAACACTCATTCTTGCTGATCAAATTTTTCTATGCAAGAATTTGGGCAAGGAAGTTAGAAGATAAATGGATATATATACCAATTTTGTAATCAATAAAGACCTTAAATGTGCTCATAGCTGCATGACTGCTACCTCCAAACACAGTGTAAAGCTCAGCACATCCTGTGGCAGAATTGTTCCACATGAGAAGCCACATGCTATTTTGCCTTTGGGCTGCCAGCCGACCACTACAAAATATCCATCCATGGCTTCTTCTGAGCCACTCTGCCCTCCATGAGATATTTACCAAAGGCTTGAGTGTAAGTTATGCCCTTACTCAAGTGAACTTCAGTAAACAGTTATCGCTTCAGATAGCATGACCCCACAGGCATGAGTGCCTGTACGATCCCAACTGTTTTGTGCCTTATTTGTCTGTTTTCAAGAAGACTTAGACGTCTGTGCATACAGCTGTACTCACTGTGTGTGCCTATCCAAGTCCTGACACTGAAGGCATTATTATTTTTGCTTAAAAATGCATCTCTGTAGCAGGACATATGGGGCTGCTCCCATGACAGAGATGAGGTTCCTAGATGGCTCTCACCTAAGAAAAATTATTCTGACATTATTTGACACTCATTGCTCTCCAGCATCTTTCCAGCCTAGAGCCTACACATTCATCTTATTTCTTACAGAGACTTGAATTCTATGTAAGCATTCCCAGTTCCAAGTTAAATAAATGCATACTAGGTCTGGTGTGTAGGCAAGCCGCTAAATGTTGCTACCCATGACAAAGCATTCAATTCACAGGATGTGTCTACCTTTGTTAAATGTAATTGATACCTCACCAAAAAAACAAAAGGGGCAGAAGCATTTTCTTTCCCTTTTCTCTACTAGTAGTTCAGAAAGATGAAAGTGTTTATTCACAGAATGATAAATGAGACAATGGGTTTTTTTGGGTTCCTGCTACCGTTTCTCCTTCTTGGAGGAAAAAGGTCCTTTAGAAGTCAAATGCAGCACATCAAAATTATGCATCTGCCCTGAATTTGTTCTTGAGGGAGAATGGGCTCTTCCACTTATATCAAGTGAGTAGGGAAA